ATTCAGACAAATCTGCACATATGTCTGATGCAGCAGGGAGAAATGACAAGAATTGGGTGGTAGGTGTATGTTGCTGTAGTGCCTGATTAGGCAACTAACAGTGTCTGTACAGCCTAAGGTTTGTACAAATGCACACTGTATTTTGTTTGAGCAAGAGAGAAGTATGGGGTTATTGATGCAAGCTCTTTCTTTCCGTGAAAAGAGAATTTTATATTAACCCAAGGAGAGGTAAAGGCGGTGGTGTGGTTAGGTCTAAGCATGTTTTTGCTCGGGGCAGGAGCTCCTTGTAACAGACATTGCTCTGGCTACTACTAGAATAGCAGGATAGATGGGCACTATAGGAGGAAGCTATTTTTGCTTTAACATGGCACAAACTTAAAAAACGTGCTTAGTTTGATCTGGGTGACCCAAACACTCTTGACATAAGAGTATTAATTCATTTGAATCAGAGAGAGGGAGCCTTATTTCCAATATATACAACACTGAGCTCCCTGCAACAGTGGTGCAAGAGGCAAAAAACCTCAGGTTAAGACCTAAAAGAATGAAGAGTAAAGGGAAACTACAGTACCTACTACAGCTAACTGCCATTGAGGGAAAGCAAGAGTGGAATTTCTGCATTCCCTTCCAGCATAGCCAAGACTACTGGGGGATTTTTAATTAGCTAACTAAAATGCACAAAAGAACCGTAAAACTGAAAAAGAAATCCATCCACTCTGACTAGACAATGGGAGTTTTCCAAGCATAGAGGACAGCAGGATAGAATGTGCAAGCCCAAGAGGGAGTAATAATATAAGAGGAAGAGCCCGAGTTCTATGTACCTTATCAAGAACTATAGAAACCCTGAGAGTTCAACAAAGCAGCATGAAGGAGCTGGTGGGACTGATTAAGGAAAGATTAAAATAACTTTTGAAAACAGACAGCTTAGCTAAGTTATAAGTAAGTGAAAGACGCATGGCCGCAAACGAATTACTTAGTGCAGTAAGTTGGGGGGGAGCTATAATTTAGAAAGGAAAAATATTAGGCTGGATAGAGTGGAGGTGAAGAGGCTCAACTAGTGATGGCAACCAAAATCCGTGGGACAGTCAAACATAAGCTGCATGGAACATCAATGTTACATCTGCTGCTCCACAGGCAACTCCCTCATAAAAACCCATTCATAAACTTATTGAATTCTTTCTTACTTAGGAAGATCGTTTGCTGTGACTACTTGTAGTGGGAGGGTGTCCCAGGACCTCAGTTGGTTAGAAGCCTTCTAATTGGCCAGCCTGAATTTACTCAGGGCCAGTTTATACCCATTTGTTCTTGTGCTAAGTGTGATTCAGCTTAAATTCACTCCATGGTGTTCATCTCCTCTCAGCCTTCACTGTGCTCAGCTAACTAAACCCAGGTCATTTAATCTCCTCTCAAGATAGGCTCTGTTTCCCTGATCTTAGCAGCCTCTCTTTTGCCAGTGTAAAGTAGTCATGATGAGGTCTTACCAGTCCCTTGTACAATGACATTAGTACTTCCCTTGCTCTACTGGAAATACCTCACCTCATGCTTCCCAGCTTTGTATTTGACTTTTTCACAGCCACATCACGCTACTGGAACAGAGTCATCCTGTGATCAACTAATACACCTATAACTTTTTCCTCTGTTTCCACTTCATGCACTCCCTAGTTTATAGGGCTACTGTTAATTACTACCTGTATGATCTTGCACTTTATACTATTGAATTTCATCCCATTTTCATTACTGTATTTCAGAGGTCCCCAAACTGTGGGGTGTGCACCCTCCCCCCCAGGGGGGCATGGAGGAATGTTCAGGGGGATGCAGCAGGCTTGGACAAGCCCCCAGGGGAAGCACCACCCACCCCACACCTGGTCCTGGGTGCCTGGCTGCTAGCCCCCACCATGGCCAGGCTGTGGCTCCGTTCCTGGCCCCATCCCCAACTGTAGCCCCAGGCTCTCAGACCCCTTCCCCTGTCTGCATCTCCCCCTTACTCCATGGGGAGCTGCAGCCCTGGCCCCAGCAGGAGGGCAAATGAGTTACCCAGGCCCTGGGTGGCACAGACAGGGTTAAAGGGGGCCACAAAAGTGTGGAGACCACTCCGTAAAATAATTCAAACCTCTTCTCCAATGCATCATTAGCAAATTTCATTAGCAGACTTGTAGATTTTTTTTGCTAAGGTCACAATTGAAAAGACTGCCCCCCCCCCAGGCTAATCCTCAGGAAACTACTGTAACCACCTTCCAACCCAATAGTTCTCCTTCAGCACAGCTCATTTTCTTGCCTTTAGCCATGTAATAAGCCTGCTTGGTCCAGGAGCCGGGCAGGATGGTGTTTTCTCTAGTTTCTATAGCATTAGGTTAAATCAGACCATTGCTTCTGCCACTGCAACAGAAGGGAAAAGGTAAAGATAAATTGTAATTTTTGTCTATCCTGCCAATAGGGTCAGAAGCAAACTCAATCCTGGTCTGTCCCTAGTGGTGGGCTGTAAGAACAAAGTCCCCTCCTCTGAGGTGAGGTGCTAATTTATCTTTTCTCTCTCCCATTTCTCATTCTTCTGATTGCTTCAGTATGAAAATAGACAGAAGATAGCAAAAGCAAACATCTCTTCTGCACTTAAGCCTGCAACTACAGAAGCCTGGGAGGCTAATAGAAAATATCTAACAGATTAATAGAAAAGGGACACACAATACATCATGCTGTGGAGGTCATGGACACAGGAGCGGATTACAAGACAGCTTAGCAGAGGTTTTTGTTTTAAAATGGTTTGGTTCTCAAATTATTAGATCAGAAGAAAGTGGGGCCCGGGGGGGAGAGAAGAGCTGGGCAGGCTCATGTACACATCTCCAATCACATCACTTTCCTGCAGCAGAGAAGAGGCTTTTCCTTCATCAGTGTGTCAGCTGGTTGTTGCAGCACCTCTGATCAGGTACAGCTATGCCAGAAGGTACAATAATTTACTAGGGCTGTTGATTAAATCACATTTAACTAAACAAAGTTAATCACAATTAATCGCACTTTTAATCCCACTGTTAAACAGTAGAATACCAATTGAAATTTAATAAATATTTTTGGATGTTTTTCTACATTTTCAAATATTGATTTCAATTACAACACAGAATACAAAGTGTACAGTGCTCACATTATATTTATTACAAATATTTGTACTGTAAAAATAGTATTTTTCAATTCACCTTATACAAATACCACAGTGCAATCTCTTTATCATGTGCATGTGCAATTTACAAATGTAGATATGTTTTGTTGCATAACTGCACTCAAACAAAATGTAAAACTTTAGAGCCTATAAGTCTACTCAGGCCAACTTCTTGTATAGCCAATCACTAAGACAAACAAGTTTGTTTACATTTACTGGAGATAAGAAGCAGGGAACATTATTTACAGTGTCACCAGAAAGTGAAACCAGGCATTCACATGGCACTTTTGTAGCCAGCATTGCAAGACATTAACATGCCAGATATGCTAAACATTTGTATACCCCTTCATGCTTCTGCCATCATTCCAGAGGACATGCTTCATTGCTGATGATGCTCATTTTAAAAAAGTCCGTTAATTAAATTTGTGACTGAACTCCTTGGGGGAGAACTGTATGTCTTCTGCTCTATTTTACCTGCATTCTGCCATATATTTCATGTTATAGCAGTCTCATATGACCCAGCACATGTTGTTCATTTTAAGAACACTTTCACTGCAGATTTGACAAAATGCAAAGGTGGTATCTGACATTATTCCATATTCTTTATGAAAATATGCTTATAATATAAATGACATAAGATATACTTTATGCAAGATGGCTCATGTGAGATGATATAAAGAAATTGCACTACAGTACTTGTATTAGGTGAATTGAATAGTATGTTTTTTTACAGTGCAAATATTTAATCAAAAATAATATGAAGTGATCACTCTACACTTTGTATTGTGTTGTAACTGAAATCAATATTTGAAAATGTAAAAAAATCTAAATATTTAATAAATGGTATTCTGTTATTGTTTAATAGTGCGATTAATCTTTTTAATTGCTTGACAGCCCTACAATTTACTCAGCCTCTTTTGTACCTACAGCCTTCTGCCAGCTATGGACTATATGAGGTCTTGGTATCGGAGTGCAGCTGGCTAAGGCCTGTGTGGTAACTGCTTGGTTGTGTGATGTGGGCCAGATGCTGTACTGTTCCTGCAGAGGAAATGGCTTGCCTCATACCTGGAATCTTAAAAGTAGGGCTATCAATCGCACTTAAGACCTGTGATTAACTGAAAACAAAATTAAATGCATTAATCACATACCTCTAGGGAGGGGGGTGGCCAGGAGCCCATATTTCAAAATATCCAAAAATATTTAAATAAATTGTATTCCATTAACAGTGCAGTTCAAACTGTGATTAATCACCATTAATTTTTTTTAACTGCTTGCCCCCCCCTACTTAAAAGACAACTTTAACCCTTCAAACACTGTTGCCTGTTCCAATTTTCTACTCTGCCCTGCACTCCTAACACAGATAAACAGTCCCCAGTGTTTATGTGCCTTCTCTGGTATCAGCCCTGCCAGTCTGCAGCGTCTAGTACACATACCAGGAAACAGTCACCAGAATGGTCACAGGAAGGCAGGCAAGACAGCACTTGCTCTACCCTAGAATTCCAGGATCGCAACAGTGCCAAGCACACCTTCACCCACTTTCATCTCAAACCCATCCTGGAAAGAGAGCCTGCTCAGCAAGAGATATGTACATCCTAACCAGTGCGTACACACAGAAAGGGAGTACTCAGTGCCCACTAGACCTGGCACTTGGTTGTGGGATGAATGCTCCCACAGTCAAATAGGGTATTCAGTTCATTGTTCTGGACTTACTTGGGCTGAGATTTTAGACCTGGTAGCCACCTTTAATGCAAGCAGGAAAGTAACTAGGTGTTTAGCATGGGGAAATTTAGCTGCAATCCACTATCTGCCCCTGAAAGGAGCCAAGTCACGGGTTCATATGAGGGGAAAAAATGTGTTACCACAAGAGATTCAACATTTATTTCATCATAAAAGTCCAGCAAATAAAACTATATACAGTGATCCATGCATGTGGCCAGTAACACACAGACATTTAAAACCTGATTAAAAACACAGTCTTCACACCAGCAGAGAGGGCAGGACACGGGGTGGCATTAGCAGGGGCCATAGTCATGTTTATATTTTGGATGCTGGTTGTAGCCAACTCTCTCCCCAGCAATGAGGCTCTGAATAACCCACTCCTGCGACACAACTGGCAGCCGTAACACTTCCGCACACTTCAGGACAGCAGCTGGGCAGGACGAGTCACTCACCACCACGTCAAACACCCCCAAAGCAATATCTGCAGGGAGCAGGACACAGGCTATTGTCAGGGGAAAAAGAAAAGACTCCTCCCTCCCTGCAGTCAAGAGATGCAGTCTCACTGGTCCAGCAACCCTAGTCAGAAAATTCTATGTTTTGTACAGTTAAAAGTATTCCACATCAAAGTTTGAGCTCAGATGGAGCCTCAAGTGCCGAAGATCAAAAAACAAGGCTGCCCTTTGGCAGATGAATAAGCAGCTGCTTGGGTCCACATCCTACATGAGCTCCATGGCTCACCTGCACTACCTCTCCTGGAGAGGGACTGAAGGGAGAGGAGATTCATTGCCTGATAGCAGACCCAGAAGCGAAGCAACTGCTGACCTCGTTTTCCCTTTCTAAAAGCACAGACTGGACCACCACCTGAACTACTGCAGCATGCAAAAGTTCACTCCCAAAATGGAGTCAGTGGAAGAGTGGAGACTTCCCCATTTTATCCAGGCAGAGGGCTATCAGTTATCTTACCCTATGTCTGCTACCCCATCCCTGCTCTCACCTACAACAGCCTAAGCCCCTAATCAAGTCAATTCTAAATCAGTTTAAACTCCACACAAGACTGCACAGGCACTGAAGTCCCAACTACTGGATGTGAGATTCACACAAGGCTCTCTGGCTGGTGGGTACCTTTGTTCTGGGCATTCAAGTAATGTTGTTTAACTGATGCTGCTCCCCCTGTCATGAGGATTTCTGACCAGAGCTCCAGGAAGTTCTGCTGTTGGTCTGATACCAGAAGAACTTTCAGGTTACCAAAGGGGTTCTCTCGGGGATGCCTGGAAAAGGAACAAGAGGAGGGAAGGCATGCAGATCCCTACAGACTCAAAACAGTAACTTAATTCTATGGCCACTTACTCTGGTAGCCTGTTTGGTTAGTTATATGACCCCACAACACCCTTATATCTCAGTGCCTCACAAACATCAATAATTTTATCCTCCCAACAGCCCTTTGAGGTAAGGAAGTATTAACCCCTTTTACAGATAGGAAAACTGAGGCACAGAGACTGATTTGCTCAGTCACATGATGAATCTATGGCAGAGCTGAGACATGAACACAGATCTCCCATGTTCCAGGCTGTGCCTTAGCCGCAATGCCACCATCCCTTCTCAGTGGGGGGAGAGAGAGGGGTGTGGCAGGACAAGAAAAGCAGTGGCTGGAGGGCATTGCTGAAAACAAAGTATACTAGTGTTGTCCTCTTCTAATTTTTTAAGATCTTTCTGGTAGCAAGGTGCCTGCAGCTGAACCCAATATCCTGGGTGCATTTTCACCAGAGCTGCATACAGAGGGATTGTCACTTCCCTGTTCAATTAAGAGGATAACTAAAATTTAAGATGCCACTGTTTATGAAACCAAAATTGCAGACCTCCTGCTGCCATATCTCATTGAAAGCCCACATTCCTGCATCCCAGATTTCTCCCTCCCACTGAGTATTTGGGAACATTGGGTTATTTCTTTCCCAGATGCATTAGCTGCATTTTCCCCAAAGAATCTCCTTGGAAATATGCAGGAAATAACAGTCTCTTTCTAGTTCCCTCTATTTTTCTGTCCTCTCAGTTTACTATGTATTTGCTAGTGCAACTAACATGTTAACCTTTCCCTTACCAGATCATTAATATTTAATAAAATAGATACGGTTGTGTGACTCTGCTGCATCCACTACACAGCCAATCTCAAGGAATATGATAACCTATCAGCTGCTTTACTCAAGTCCACAGCCAACATCTGCTGCTTTCTTTAATCAACTACAATTGTCATTCAAATTTTGCAATAGATCTGCTACTTTTCATGGGCTGGGTAACTCTTCTGGGGCCTGTCAAACCAAGTAATTGCCTATTCACAAGTCATTCTAATGTTCTGAGACTTGAAAAAACCCTCTATTTGGGCCTGTGTCGCACCCTTCCCTTTCTTCACTCACTCATGAAATCACTTGCTTCAGTCATCTTCAAGTCTCTTCTATGGGGCCCTCCCAAGTTGTCCTTGATTCTAACTAATCTTCCTTCACTCATGCTGTTGGAATTCAGCCTTCCTCTGAATTCCCTTTTTTCTAGCACCTGGGAAACACTGGCCCCAGAATATGGAAGCACAGGAGGTAAGCAGAGGGGACAAAAGAGATTGGCCGATGAAAGCTGGGGGGTTCTAGAATCTGCCCCAGAAACTAGAGTGAGGAATACAGCTCCCTCTGCCCAACTGCATGTATTTAACCCGTTTGCTCCCCAAAAGCCCATGTCCTGATGGAGCCCAGGATCACGTGGTACAGAGAATAATTTCTGTCCTATTGGGGCGGGGGGGAGATAGCGTCTGCTATAGACACAGACCTTCCCAACTAGAGAATTCTGTTAGACAGCTCCAGCTGCTCTTCTCTTCCTTACTTCAGTTTTGCTTCTCGTGTCCAGGGCTAAAGGCAGATTGTCACAGGAGATGGTCTGCTCACTGCACGACCCCCAAGTATTGCTCCCACGCATTAGGGAGAAAATGGGGAGCTATGTTCCCCCACTCTATCTAGTTACTTATGACTCCCATCATCACAGTAGTGCAGCACCTCCCAATCACTAGTGTATTTATCTTCACAACAACCCTCTTACTTTAACCCTACCTATGCCTTCAGATCCTGGTTACTCAGTGCTTACCACTCCAGCAGCCTTTGCTCTTGGAGGCTGTAGCCAGCTGGGAGAAGGTAATTACGGTAGTTTTGAAGCTGGTTAGCATGGCAACTGTCACGGACCCAGACATGAGATACACAGGGAATTCCACTGGCAAGGCACAGGAAGTACTTCCGGGTTCGGCAGTGCTGATCTGCAATCAGGAGACACTGATATGCCGCGTTACACTGGGGGGAGGCAAAGAGACAAAGTGTCAGAGCCTGGTACTACCTCGGCAGCAGGAAGTATCCTTCCATAAAAACTCTTTAGAGGAAAAAAAAAGTGCAACTAAGAGCTGTCAGGAAACACACAGGGCACGAGGAGAGGTGTGCAGCTGCTCCCTGAAGGACTACACTCCCCTAGCCATTCACTTAGGCATCGCACATGAAGTATATTCCCCCAGTCTTCTGTGAAGTCAGGTGGTTAAGGTGACTTGGTCATATGGCTAAGCCTGAAAAGTCCACCCCTTCCAGGGTCCTAAAGTCCAAGAAATCATCTGTTCTGCTTCTGAGCTCTGCTATGGCCCTCCTGGGCTTTTATCAGTCTACCACTCATCTCCTTAATATCAGTGTTTCACCTCATAAGGTGGCAGTATGGGGGAACCCAGAGCCCAACCTATTCAGTGGTACCGAGCCCTGGGACCTCCTAAAAAGAGTTGGATTGCCTGCCCCTGTAACCAAACAAAAAAAGGACTTGTAGGAAGAGGCCCTGGGAAAGAGTGCATTACCAGCCTTCCTAGCTGGCCTCCTACCCTTTGAGGAACACTGATTCCTAGCAGTCCCTCTCAGCTTGGCTCTCCCAGCTTCCAACAGATCACTACTCTTCCTGGTGTTGGTCTCTTCACCCTGCCTCTGCACTCCTTTAGCAGCAGCATGCCTTCTGCCACAGTGCAGCCGTCTTTGGCCTCTTCAGGAACAGTATGAGCAGACACCCGTTCACCAGTAGTCTGTCTTTCCCAGGACGACTGTCTTTACATCCTCAGCAGGCCTGGCTCCTAGTCAGCTGACTCTTTGCCTCCATGTGGGGAGGGAGACCAACTCTGGTGCAGCTGAGCCCTCAGCCTTCTTAAAAGACCACCTCACGCTGTGATACAGGACTTAAAGATCTTCTAAACTCTGGGAGGTGGAATCTTTTCTGGAAAGCCCATAAAGGCATCTGAGAGTATCCAAATATTTGGAGATTTAACCTCATGTTTCAAACCCTCAGGCTGGAAGCTGTCTGGATCTTTGTATTTCATTGGGCCTTTCATCAGGAGATCTTCCAAGAGAGGTAGCTCCCGAGGAGTTCACAGACACTTCTGGAGTCAAGGGATCCAGGAGTTGTAAGGTTAGCTAGGGGCTATTGGGGATTCCCTGACCCTCTCCAACATGATCTTCTGAGCAACTTTGATGAGAAGAGGCAGAGGAATGAAGGTCAGATCAGCTGAATGAGGAGTCATCTGTTCTCAAGACTGTTGATTCCAGCGCCTGGAGCAGAAGAGATCCAATGTTTTGTTCTTGCTGGAAGCAAACCAATTTATTTGGGGAGAGCCCCATTTGAGAAGCACTAGAGGGAGAATCCTGTTGTTCAGTTCCCATTCCCCTGGGGAACGAGTACAGCAGTTGAGCCAATTGACTTGGGTGTTGAACTTGCCCTTGACATAGGCTGTCCTGAGAGAGAATGGTTTCTTTTCTGCCCAAAGGAGGATTCTGGTGGCGTCTGCCTGCACAGAGGAACTGCAGGTCCTGTCTTGCCTGTTGATATAGACCACTGCTGCCTATTGCCCAACTGTACTAAGGCAGCAGAGGAGGTCAAGGGAGGGGAAAAGCATTTAAGGGCATTCCTGATGGTTCTAAGCTCTGGTGGGGTGGGAGGCGCAGAGAAAGGAGGAGAGCTGCCCACAGTACCTACGGGGTTGTGGCTTATTTCCCTCTATGAGGCAGAGCTATCGAGAGACACTATGGACGGTGGCATAGAAGCAAAACACTCTGTGGGAATGGCTAACTGAATTAGTCAGTCTCCAGACCAGACAATTGTTATGAGAATTTGTTTTATCGATTTTAAATTTGTTGCCTTTCTTTAGGTGCCATACAGACATCAAGGAGACAGACGGTGAATTTGAGCTCATCACATCCCCTCTTGTCATCTCCTCTCTAAACCAACAGTCTGAATTTTTTCAATCTCTGTTCACAACAGTCTTTGAGCAGTCCAAAACAATGCCCAGGTCTCCTCCTAAGTGGATATAGTTAATTTAGAACCCATGAGGTTCAAGAGCAGTTTAAATGATTTCTTCCAATGTGAATTACCTTGCACTTGTCAGTGACTTTCATCTGCTTTTGCTCAAGAGCATCAAATGCTGTGGGAAGATCAAAAGAGGAAGAAAAAGGTGCTAGGACCCCACTCCATCATCCAGCCCATCCCTCCCCACAGACATGAGCGTTCTAGGCATGACACAAACATTGCTTACACCACCCATCACAACATGGTTCCAACTGCCCTGCTCTGTACTGCGCCCTCCCCTCACACAGTTTCAGCTCCTCACCATTTCTATAGGAATGCATTTTGGGCAATCAGACTGCATGTCCTCACCTGGGTTTCATTGAAGTCCTCCAGGATGTAGCCGGCTCCGGTTCGCAGCTGCAATGCTGTGTACTGTTTGTTGTAAGGAATTGAGAATTCTAGAACAGGAGGAGAAGAGAGCTAAAAGCCTTGGCTACCTAAGCTATGCACAGCCCATTCCCTCAGCCCACCAGAGAGAGACAGACTGACCCCACAAAGAAAAGGAGTACTTGTGGCACCTTAGAGACTAAACAAATTTATTTGAGCATAAGCTTTCGTGAGCTACAGCTCGCTCAAGAAAGCTTATGCTCAAATAAAATTGTTAGTCTCTAAGGTGCCACAAGTACTCCTTTTCTTTTTGCGAATACAGATTAACATGGCTGGTACTCTGAAACGGACCCCACAGAGATTCTAGTATCAGGAAGATGTGGTGAGGACACAGAGCACCCCATGGAGATACAGCAGAGAACTGAGTACACTGCTGGCCAAAATGGTCACGCAAGTAACTCATGAATCTGAACAGCTGCTTTTAAAATCAAAACATCAAGTTCATGCATATTACCACTGTATCTGCCAAAGGCAAGTTCAAGCCTCTTGTTTCTGCTTTCAAGCCTTAAGTCACTCAGCCCCATCCTGTGTCTGAGAGAGACTCTGTTTCCATATCTCCTCCTGCAATTTGCCAGTAATGCCAGCTGCAACACCATCTTCATTTCCTTCACTGACTGAAGGGCCTACAATCGTTACCATAATTCTCATCCTTTGCCTTCCCTTCCCAGACATCATATCCTTCACTGTAGGCTAAACTCCCTGAAGCAGAGACTGGGTCTGTGTTCATTTCTGTGAAGGGCCTAACACACAATGAGATAAACAGTAAAAAAGCGGGGACAACATGAATTTGCATACATGCCGGAGCAGATACCACCCAGCCCCTTTCCCTAACCTACAGGATTCCACCTGGAAATACAATTGGGAAGATTCATCTCACCTTCCTCTTCCTCACTACTGCCTGCAGGACCATCTGATGGTTTCTGGCGAATAGCCAGTTTGTCACTGGGGGTTGCCATAGTGAGAAGGAAAGCATAGCCCAGAAAGAGGGTCTTGTTGTGGGGCAATGGCCCATGATGCTCCTCCAGTGTCGAGGGATCTCCTGTGTGATCTCCACTTTCACAGGGGCTCACAAATTCACCTGCCCTCACAGCCCCTGTAGAGAGAAGGAACTGCTATGAAAGCCCCAGCATCGGGTCACCCAATGCAACGGCATCAGGGATAAATTCAGGCAGTTCCAGATGGCTCACCATGCTGGTACTTTTCCTTGGTGGATGTCACCTTGTGCTCCAGAATGAAAAAAAAAATAGTTAAAGTCTCTTGCCCTCGTGGTGGCAAAGAATCTTCAAAATGTAACTGGAGTGTATCTAGCACAACGTCTGCTAGAGCATGCAGACAGCCTGAAACAATAGCTCAGAAAATGGACAGCTGTCCCACTCATCTCCATGAGTGTTAATTCTGAAGTATAATCATGTCAATCGAAATGTCAATATTGTTAGGGTATTTCAGTGCTGATCAAAACATTCAAGGGGGAAGGGGGAGGATGAGCACATCACTAAGATCTGACCAATACTCTGCAAAGGACATCATGAATGGGCAGAACTTAGGACAGCATTGCAGTGTATTTTTAATCCTTCCGTCCAAGGTAAAAGAGCCTATACATGGCCAGGGAGAAGGATAGCCTCAAACACAGAGGCTGTGGGTTCCACACATTTGCTTAGGAGAAAGGTGTACTTTTGCATGTAGGGAGAGAAGCCTGCAGCCCCTGAGTTTGTTTAGAGCAGAATGGAAGGTTCTTACCAGGTTTCATTGCTGCAGACTTGCGCCCTCGTTTGGCTGGGGATCTCTCATCTTCAGAAGCAACTAGCTTCCTCTTCCCAGACAGCAGGCCTGGGGCGACACGGGGACTCTCCTGTCCTTTTCGAGTGGGTGTAGTGCTGCTGCTGGAAGTGCTGGGTGAGCCAAAGTTACTGCGCCGCTTCCGCTTCCCCTCCACCAGGTTATCTAAACCACAGTAAGTCAGTGGCCAGTCATCCATCTCCCGCTCCCCCGCACCAAACCCACAAGCATCACCCATCCCAGAGCGATAGCCTCATAAGCAGAGCACACAGAGCTTTACACACCATCTCCTGACCCAGGGGGAGAGGATCAGCTTTCCTACATCTTGTGTCTTCGTTCACTCCCCATGAGACTCACTTTTCCTTACCTGCCTTTAGAGGGCCGACATCATCACATCCCTTCATTGAGCTAAGGATGCCTCTGCAGCTCCCTGCTCTTCCAGTCACCTCCCACTCTGGGCATCTGTTCCTTCTAGGCGAATCATACCTATGCAGCGACCACACAGTGCTGTTGGAGCAGCACTAGAAAGCAGAAGCAGCAAAGGCATGATCCATGCTTAATTAGGGCCTGTCCAGAGTCAGTTCCCACTGAATTCTTATGGATATCATGCAATGCCTCAAGGCTGCAAAAAGACATAATATGACTAGCAAAGTCAGTGTGTTGTCAGCTTATGGTTCTACTGGCTTCACACCTGGAGTAACACATGGTTTGGATGCAGTTTGGGAAGCCTCCAACAGTTCAATGCAGCCACTTCTTACCCAGGCTGATGTCAGCTGCCTTGGTCAGGGGTGTGATTGGTTCATATGGACTCAGCCCAAACTGCTCCCGAAGTTTGTTTCCTTGTTCCAAGGACAGGATTACTGCCATACGCTTGTACCATTTCCTCTGGCCTTCCTTTTCAATACAGTAATACAGCTCTCCAGACTCCTTCCGGTGTCCCTTCACCACACCTGATAAGATAGCAAATTAGAACTGTTTACTGACAAGATCTTTGACTCTTCACACAATACACAGTCAACCTGTGGAACTCCTTGCCAGAGGATGTTGTGAAGGCCAAGACCATAACAGGGTTCAAAAAAGAACTAGATAATTTCATGGAGGATAGGTCCATCAATGGCTATTAGCCAGGAAGGGCAGGATTGGTGTCCCTAGCCTTTGTTTGCCAGAAGCTGGGAATGAGCGACAGGGGATGGATCACTTGATTGCCTGTTTTGTTCATTCCCTCTGGGGCACCTGGCACAGGCCACTGTCGGAAGACAGGATACTGGGCTAGACAGACCTTTGGTCTGACTCAGTAGGGCCGTTCTTATGTTATGTTCCTGACTCTACCCCACAGCCTGGCACCCACTTCCCAGCAGACAGTTCCTGCTGGATGCAGTGACCTAGACCAAGACCAAGGCCACTGGTCTTTTTCAGACCAGAGAGGAAGTGAGAAATTGAGCTGCAGGAGCACAGCTGTTGTTACCTGCACTGAAATACTCATCCTCAGAGAGCGCAGTCACCTCAGTTTCCAGTGGAATGGGATCGCAGAGTAAAATATCTTTGCCTAAGACATCACACTCATATCCATCGTCAAAGAGCAGCTTGTACTTCCCTGCCCCAACATCCTGGGTGATTGTCCCAGAATAGAAGTAGCCATTTGAGGACCACTTGGCTACCACTCGCAGGCCCACAAAGCTGCTCCCAGAGGATAAGTCCGCACTGTCCGAGGGACCTGTCACCACCTGCAAGGGAATTTCCGGAGAGTCACTTCGGCGCAAAGTGCAAGGGCCAGCAGCATCAAATCTGTCCCCACCATCTGGTGGGTGAACCACAATGCGCACAAAGGGCTTCTCCTCTGGTGATGCTGTAGTCGAGAGATCTTCCACCCCTAGTAGGCCACTCCCAGCTGCATCCCTGGGAAAGGGAGAGAAAAGAGATGTGAGCTCCATGGGAGCAGAGAAAGCAACTATCATGTACCAAAGGAAGATTTCCCATTGCACAACCACTCCTTTCTCCCCCACCAACCATGAACCCTTGCAGTTCCCCACTGAGTCCCTTCTCACCCACTCCTCCCATCATATGCAGCCACCTGCTCCCTATTCACTCATTCAAAAAAGAGACCTGGTTCCATCCTACTTTTCCAGGGTACCTTGTTCCAGTTGCTCGAGATGGTGGGCGGCCCCTTCTCCCTCGCCCACGAGGTGTAAGAGGTGCTTTCCCACCCTGTCGGATGCCAGGTGCTGGGTCTTCATCCTCCTCACATGCTGTTGCTCCTGTCTGACCAGCCCTGAGAGGGGACCCTGGCTGGCCAGCTCCTTTTCTAGGGCTAGGGAATTAAGTGAGATTATTTCACTGCCCTAGAAGAAGCCATCAGCAAATCCACTCCTTTCAAATTTCATTGTGTCCCTGATTTCTGGTGAGAAGTTTGTCTGACAGCTACCTTGCTGGCAGAGTTTCATGAAGTCTATGGGAAGCACTGCACGAAGGGGAGGCAAATCCTGTCCTTTCAGGAAGAAAGGAGGGGTTGGGAAAAATAAAGGAGAATAGAAGATTTTCCCTTTTCCATATATCAAATCAGATCCCTCCCAGGAAATGTATGCAATACCCCACCCTTAGGACAGTCACCATCCACTTGTCTTCATGACACTTAGCAGCTCACCCTCTCCCCAACCTAAGGTTGCCAACCCCCCAAGATTGGCCTGGAGTCTGCAGGAATTAAAGATTAATCTTTAATTAAAGATTATGTCATGTGATGAAATCTCCAGGAATACATCAAACCAAAATTGGCAACCCTACCCCAACCCCACCCGCAATGAAGCGCCTGGCTTCCTGTCCCCAAGGCATTATACACACCTCAATTTTCCTAGGACTCCTCTACCACTGGGCAAGGCAAACTCTCCAGCTTCCATTCCGCTGACTTTCCCTTTGAAAGATCCAGCTCCCCTCCCTGAGCTACTGCCACCATGTGTAGCTGACATGCCACTACTGGCTCCACTAGATGTACGATGGAGACTCGAGGCCTTGGATGAAAGGGAGCTGATGTCACCGAGATCCCCGGAGGTCAGTGACGAGCCCCCTGTTGTTCGGGAGGGGGAGATGTCTGTCTCACACTCTTGGCACTCCACTATGGGCTCTTCAGTTTCCTGAAAAGGAGAGGTCAGTCTATAAGAGACAGAAGCTGTATGTAGATGGAGGGTCTCTAGTGGTCAGATAAGAGAGCTCTGAGAGAAGAGGGGATCATGTTCATATCATGTGAACTTGAAAACATAAATCCAGCCCAAGAGAGGGAACCCTATCTCAGAAAGGGGCTGGACGAACTCCATGTGAGTGATGAGAGGTTACTTCCCTTGTACAGTGACTGGAATTCTTTGAGATATTTGCTTCCTATGGAATTTCCACATGAGGGCATGCGTGCACCCATACACTCTTGCCTGGAGATTTTTTTCATTAGCAGTACCTGCAGGTTCATGCCTGCACCATATGCCTCTTCATGCTCCAGTATGGGGGCATATAGGGAGGAGCAGACTGTACCACTCCACTTCCTTCTCAAGCTCAGATCATGGTAGGCTTCGAAAGCAGAAGGAAAAGGAGGTAGGAAGTGGAGCATCTATAGGGACAGAACATCTCAAAGACCTCCAGTTACTGTTCATGGTAAGTAACCTCTTCCTTCTTGGAGTTATCCTACGGGCACCCCACATGAGGAGATTCCTGAGCCACATCTCAATGCACAGGAGGCTGCTGCAGAGATAGATTCAGTACAGAGGTAGAACAGCTTCAAAGGCTGCATCTGCTCTGGAGGCCTATACTAAGGCATAAAACGCTGTGAGAACATGAACATGGGGGATGAGTGGGCTGCCTTACAAATGTCCTTGATGGATACCTTCCTAATGGAAGTTGATTGAGCCCTTCTGGAAGGAGCAGTGACTTTAGGAGGAGGTGTACACCAGAGGATGCATACCATGCCAGAATATACCTAAATGGGTTCTGGGGTAGTCTCTGGGTGGAAATAAGAGCGAAGCCTCATCCTCTCAGCAAAGGAAAGGAAGAGCCTGGGGGAAACCCTGGAGGGCATAGTCCTGTGTAGACAGAAGGCCAGAGCTCTAATTACATCCAAAGTATGGAGACTGGCCTCTTGCCTTAAAGAGTGAGGCTCGGGGTAAGAGACTGGTAGTTGGATGTCCTGAGGGATATGGAACTCCGATGAAACGAGAATGGGGACGCAAAGTAACTGTTAGGTAAAACACCGTACAGTAGGTTAGGCATGAGGGCACCTACTTCCCAATCTCTCCTCGCTGAAGTGACTACCATGAGGAAAGAAGTCTTGAAGGACAGGTGGAAGAATGAACAGGTTCCCATGAGTCTGAAAGGAAGACTTCTCAACACACTAAGCATGAAATTGAGGTGCCAGGGTGAAGTAGGGTCCCAAATTGAAGGAAACAGGTTATAATGTATTATGTTGATGCCCATGATGCCTAATGCATATTCATTAGAGGTTTCAGATCCATTTCCTTATCTAAACTTTCACACCCCACGAATGTTGGAGTGCCCTTTTCCCACAAGTTACTAGGCCTTTTATCTCAAGCTTATTAGCATGTGTGTTAAATTAGTTACTACGGCATGGTTGGACTTCTGCTTATGTTCCTATCTTAAAATATCTCATGCTGGCATCAACAAGTATATCTTATGGTTACCAATCAGCAGTTTAGTCATTACAGCATTTTATCTTCTGATAAGAACGGCCATACTGGGTCAGACAAAAGGTCCATCTAGCCCAGTATCCTGTCTTTCAAGAGTGGCAAATGCCGGGTGCTTCAGAGGGAACGAACAGAACTGGTAATCGAGTGATCCATCCCTGTCGCCCATTCCCAGCTTCTGATCAAGAGTTACTCTTGGTTAGCAGCTTGTGCTAAGGCTTTTTAGGCCTTGACTAGTTTAGCTAAGCTATTGTTTTGCAGGCCATGAGGTTCGTAGACACATTGCATTACTTATACCTTAACTTATACCTATGTCTTACCTAGCAAATACACATACCTGTGGGCTACAACAACATTAAGTAATTCCTTTTAATGTTCTAAACTTGCCCCTTTTGGACAAATCCGCTCAAACAGATAACAACCACCCTCTTAAAAATGCCTTAAAGACCAGAGCATCCTTGGAAGTGTGATAAATGTGTTAGGTACTAAAGGACTGAACTGATTATTGTAAGTTAATATCAAGTGAGTCAAGTGAATAGAGATGTGAAAGTACGTGTCCTGAAGGTCAAGAGCTAAAAGTCTAAGAGAACCAAGGAGGGTATTATAGCAGTAGTTAGGGTAACCATAATGAATCCAAAACGCTGAATGAAGATACTGAGAATTCAAAGGTCGAGGATTAACCTTCAATACCCTTTCTTCTTTGGAACCAGAAAGTAGAGGGAATAGAAGCCTCTTCCTTTGAATTCTGAGGCTACTTCCTCCCAGCCCCAAGATGTATTAAGGAGTTCACTTCCTGTTCCAGAAGACTCAAGAGAGTGGTCCCTGAAAAGGAACAGGGAAGTGGGGGGTAGGCAGACACTGGAACCGAATGGAATACCCCTGGGCTTACTAACCTCAGGCCAGTGAGTCCTTAAGATATTCTCATCCAGTCTTCCAGAAAAAAGAAAGGTTCCCAATAGGGTCAGGAAAGTAGGATTTGTAGGAGGTTCCGTAGGGCTCTAGACACTCGCTGCACCTTCCTCCAAAAACCAGTTCTGATGTATGTCAGATGGAACAAGGTGGAGCTGATGACCGATGCCTATGGAATCTCCTTCTCCTGTGCAGGGGCTCAGATGTGCACTACTGTGGCTAGCATTTGCAGTTGCAATAAAGCTGCTGTCTCTGTTGCTGCTTTCTCTGCGACATGGGAATATAAGAGGTCCAATGACTGAAGAATCGCCATAACGTCCCTATGACTGTGGAGTGCTTCATCCATAATATTGGCAAACAGATCAGCCCCCTTGAACAGGAGGTCCCCTGTGGCAGTTTGCACCTACTGTAGGATCCCAGATGGAGGCAAGCAGCATGATTCACGATAGCAGTGGATGCCATGGTCTTTCCACCATATCCAAGGCATACAGAGTGGCTTGGCGGAAGGTCCTGGCCATCAGTGGTCCTTCTGCAATCAAGGTTCTCAGTTCCTCCTGCTGGTCTTGTGGCAAGTGGTCCATCTTTGTCTTCCACAAAGAAGAAAGTCATACTTTGAGAGCAAAGCTTGATAAATCCGCCACCCTCATTTGGAGGCAGGTAGAGGAATAGATCTCGCAGCCAAAGAGATCCAATCTTTTCAAATCCTTCTCTCAAGGGGCATTTTTAGAAGCTCTTTGGATTTCTACTGAACCTCCTGGACCACCAGGAAGTCAGAGGTCATGCACTGAAAGAAATACTGAAATCCCTTTGTGGGGCCTTGCTATTTTCTGTCCACTTTCTTTGAGGTGGGTGGGATGGAAGTCAGAACATGTCAGATCACCTTAGCAGGCTCAAGGAGACCCTCATTAATGGACACTGCTACCATGCCTATTGTTGCTGTGTGGAGGATGTTCAACAGTTTATGTTGTTTCTCCTGAATGTCCAGCTCTTGGTGATCCTCTTGAAGTGGTTTTGGAAAACAAGAGGTTATTTACCTTTACAGTAACTGAAATTCTTCTAAATGTTTTGTTTTTAAGGGTGCTCCACTAAGTGTGTATACATATCCCCGTGCTCTTTCAATCAGATTTTTGGTACCAGAGCCCATGGGGTCTGCACTTGCATCCTGTATATCCTCGTGCTCTGATCCGAGGGCATATATGGAACTCTCTCTCAACTTCAAAATTTGGCATGGCAAGGACTCCAAAATAGAGGGAAAGGAGGGCAAAGTGGAGTGCCAATTGAGACAAAACATCCAGAACTGCAGTTACTCTACAGGTAAGTAGCCACTCCTTCGAGTATTTGTCCCTGTGGGTGCTCTACATTAGGTGGCTCCTGAGCAGTGTCCCAATAATGGAGGTGGGTGCTGAGGAGAGATCGAGTACAGATCGGAGAACAGCTGTACCCAAGGCTGCATCTGCCCTGGAAGCATGCACAATAGCATGGTGCTGGGAAAAAGTGTGCACAATGGCCAGGCATCAGCTTTTCAAATGTCTTCAGTGGGCATGTTCTAAAGCAGGGCAACAGATGTGGATTGTGACGAGTGGAATGGGCAGTCTCGCAGAAGACACTCCTCCTCCATCAGATTCAGGAGTAGATTTGATGGTTATTAGCATATATGTTAATTAGCATATTAATTGGGGGGGGGGGAGGAGGCACGTGGCGACTCCCTACCAAATCGGATAGATTCCGAAGAGGGGTAACTGATCCCAGGGCCCTCACTATGGCCTGTTGGAGGAGTCAACAGATGGTAATAGGAGTCTGAGTGACTGAGCCAAGTGAGGTGGTGGCTGGTCCCAAGGCTGTGGGGTTCTCCTGGGAAATGAATAAGAGCAGTACAAAAGGAGCAGTTCTTCCAATGGGTCTGTATCTCCTGAGGAGGAAAAAGCCAACTTGAGTTTTAGTGTTGTTACTGTCAGTGCTGTTGAAGAGGTGTAAGATGTGTATGGAGGGGGGGGGCGGGGAAGGAGATGACCTCTGGAGATCCCCTCCAGAGCTTATCTAGTTCATTCCCCTGCACTCATGGCAGGACTAAGTATTATCTAGACCCATCCCTGACAGGTGTTTGTCTAACCTGTTCTTAAAAATCTCCAATGATGGAGATTCCATAACCTCCCAAGGCAAATTTATTCCAGTGCTTAACCACCCTGACAGTTAGGAATCATAGAAGATTAGGGTTGGAAGAGACCTCAGGAGGTCATCTAGTCCAATCCCCTGCTCCAAGCAGGACCAACACCAACTAAATCATCCCAGCCAGGTCTTTGTCAAGCCGGGCCTTAAAAACCTCTAAGGATGGAGGTTCCACCACTTCCTTAGGTGACCCATTCCAGTGCTTCACCACCCTCCTAGTGAAATAGTGTTTCCTAATATACAGCCTAGACCTCCCGCACTGCAACTTGAGACCATTGCTTCTTGTTCTGTCACCTGCCACCACTGAGAACAGCCGAGCTCCATCCTCTTTGGAACCCCCCTTCAGTTAGCTGAAGGCTATCAAATCTCCCCTCACTTTTCTCTTCTGCAGACTAAATAACCCCAGTTCCCTCAGCCTCTCCTCGTAAGTCATGTGCCCCAGCCCCCTGATCATTTTCGTTGCCCTCCACTGGACTTTCTCCAATTTTGTCCACATCCTTTCTGTAGTGGGGGGAACAAAACTGGACACAGTACTCCAGGTGTGGCCTCACCAGTGCCGAACAGAGGGGAAATAATCACTTCCCTCGATCTGCTCACAATACTCCTAATAATACAGCCCAATATGCCGTTGGCCTTCTTGGCAATGAGGGCACATTGCTGACTCATATCCAGCTTCTCGTCCACTGTAATTCCCAGGTCCTTTTCTGCAGAACTGCTGCTTAGCCAGTCGGTCCCCAGCCTGTAGCGGTTCATGGGATTCTTCCTTCCTAAGTGCAGGACTCTGCACTTGTCCTTGTTGAACCTCAGATTTCTTTTGGCCCAATCCTCCCATTTGCCTAGGTCACTCTGGACCCTATCCCTACCCTCCAGCGTATCTACCTCTCCCCCCCACTTAGTGTCATCTGCGAAATTGCTGAAGGTGCAATTCAGCCCATCATCCAGATCATTAATAAAGATGTTGAACAAAACCAGCCCCAGGACCGACCCCTGGAGCACTCCGCTTGATACCAGCTGCCAACTAGACATCAAGCCATTGATCACTACCCGTTGATTGAGGAATTAGAAAGTTTTTCTTAACGTCCAACCTAAACTGCCCTTGCTGCAATATAAGCCCATTGCTTCTTGTCCTATCCTCAGAGGTTAAGGAGAACAATTTTTCTCCCTCATCCTTGTAACAACCTTTTATGTACTTGAAAACTTATCACCTCCTCCCCCCTTAGTCTTCTCTTCTCCAGATTAAACAAACCCCATTGTTTCAATCTTCCCTCACAGGCCATGTTTTCACTTTTTTTGCTTTTCTCTGGACTTTCTCCAGTTTCTCCACAACTTTTTTGAAATGCAGCTCCCAGAACTGGACAATACTTCAGTTGAGGCCTAATCAGCGCAGAGTAGAGTGGAAGAATTACTTCTCATGTCTTGTTTACAAACACTCCTGCTAATATATCCAAGAATGATCTTTGATTTTTTTGCAACAGTGTGACACTGTTGACTCATACTTAGCTTGTGATCCACTATGATCCCCAGATCCCTTTCTGCAGTACTCCTTCCTAGGAAGTCATTTCCCATTTTGTATGTGTGGAACTAATTGTTCCTTCCTAAGTGGAGTACTTTGCATTTGTCCTTATTGAATTTCATAATATTTACTTCAGACCATTTCTCCAGCTTGTCCAGATAATTTTGAATTTTAATCCTATCCTCCAAAGCAATTACAACCCCTCCCATCTTGGTATCACCCACAAACTTTGTAAGTGTATTCTCTATGCCATCACCTAAATAATTGATGAAGATATTGAACAGAACCAGACTCAGAACTGATCCCTGCAGGACCCCACTCAATATGCCCTTCCAGCTTGACTGTGAACCACTGATAACTACCCTCTGGTAGTTAGCGCACGGTACACTGGATCACTGCAGATTTCACACACCAGCTTACCATGCATTAACTCACCATTTAGACATGTCCTAATTTTCAGTCAGTCACTTTCCAAATCACCATTCTTCAGATAGCCCTAAGATTCCTCACTCTCAGCAACAGCAGAGTCCCAGGGATGGTTGCAATTTAAATCTAACCTGCCAGTTGTCTGAATACCAAAAAGGCACACTATTTCTTAATGTAGGTGTATGTTCACACAGCAGCAGCAATTAATCTCTCACTTCTATAGGGCCATATATCTATATAAGGGCTCAACTGATTTTGTAAGATAAGAACATGGATCTCAGCCTGAAAGCATAAGATGTTTTATTGCCCCAAGCCATGTTCCCTCTAAGGTGTGCACCTGTGCAGGAGGCCACCAAGGGCTGCACAGGTGTGCACACTGCACTCAGGGGCATGGGGTGTGCAGGGCTGCAGTGACTCTCCCCGGCTGCAGCAGCCCCGGGACCAGAGCGGGAAAGACGCTTTCCCCCAGCTCAGGTGCCGCTGTGGAAAGAAAGGGTTGGAGGGAGTCCTCTCTCCCCACCACAGCCCTGGGCAGCCTGCACCCCAACCCTCTGCCCCAGCCCTGAAGCACCTCCCACACTCCAAACCCCTCGGCCCCATCCCTGCCACACATCACCTTCATACTGGTGCACATAACAAAATTCATTCTGCACATGGATTGGAAAAATTAGAGGGAACATTGAAAGGAATGTTTTTGAGACTCTTCTGATAGGATATTAGGGATTGGAATGGAAACCCCTCTGAAGTCACTTGCTATGGCAAAGCAATCAAGGAGGTTTCTACTGATTCCTCGGTCTCCCAGGAGGAATGTTAGCTCCAGAATGATTATAATGCAGCACTAAGTTACACAGTTTTGTTAAATCACCAAAGAGATTGTTGTTCCCCGTTGGAATTTTTACCCCTCTGAAACCCTCAATGTTGTGGGTAGCACATATTACACTACGCTGAAGTAATACGATCACCACACAAGAAACGTGGCATCAACACAAGGAAGCAGCTTTTCGTTTAAACACAGTGTGATTCTTAATGAAAGATGTTCAAGTCTCATAAGGGGTGAGCAAAGATCAGTGCCAGAGCATGGCAGCCTGTTAAGTTAACTCTGCTGTTTCCTGTGGCCACACAAATACCAGCAGGCAAGGTCCCTGCTTATTTGGATTTAATGTGTCCTCCTGAAAACAGATCACCACATTCACCCCTGAAATTGGATTTACCTCAATGACCTTCCGCTCTACCTCAGCACCATCTACGTAGTAAACATCTGTGATGATACGTGTGACAACTGTGCGCACTTCACGGATGGTTCGCATGTGGCGATGCTGGACATGGCCTCGGGGTGGCTGGGGCAGGTTAAACTCCTCCTCTCCCTGAAATAACAAAATGAACTAATAAATATGAAAGTAAGCCACCCCACTGCACAAATATTTTTGTTGTGTAATTCTGTGAGCACCATGTTACCAGGAGACAACATTCAACAAACTGTTTTAACACCAGACTCTGATCAAATTTCTGCCATGATTCCACACACAGGCTTCTCCACAACATTCTTGATTCTGGGCTGCCTCAGGACTGTTGTGCAGAGGACTTCATAAATTGTTCAAGATAACGGAAGCCCAATTCAGCCTGCTACACAATACTCGCAGCTGGAAGCCCGTGCTGTTGCAAAAGCGAGGCAGTTGGGTCAAGTAATCCACTATCTGTGCAGTGTCCCTCATATAACCAATGCAACTGTTGCATGCAAATTAGCTGTAAAGGTAATGATTGGTTGAGTTACATCTGATATCACAATAGTCTAGGACAGCGGTTCTCAAACTTTAGCAACCTGAGGACCCCCACTTTTATTTAAAAATTTTCGCAGACCCCCCCAAGGCTACTGATGTTATTTACATTTGAAGAAAAAAATTCCGTGTTCATGAAAAGCTCTATTAATTTTTTGTTTATAAACTATTGTACCACTAAAATTTTTTTTATTATTATTTATTAGACAGATACCCAGACACATTTATCTAAGGAACTATTCTAGCTGTTTAGATTTAATGATAATAAAAATAAAGAAAACTTCATAAAAAAAACACACAAGCTAACAAAACATTAACGCAAAGGATGTTGTTTTGCCGAAACAAGATCACAAACATTTGGCTCGTTGGTGGAAAGTTGTATTCTTAGATCTGCTTCTACAGTCAGTCGGTTTCTGTAGTTTGATTTCACATATAAAAGTGCAGAGAATGCCCATTCACATAAATATGTTGTGGGAAATGGCATTAAATACTTGAACGCTTTGGTTGACAGTTTGGCATAATCAAGTCTCAGACATAACCAAAAGTCTACCAGACTGTACTGATTGAAAATAAATTTCAAAGGAGGTGTCACACGAAAGGCAATTTTCTTCAGATGAAGTTAAACTTTTGGTGGTGTTGACATCTAACATTGAATGGATCCCGGATCCAATTGTTACCGGAATCGGGAAGAGGAAAATAATCCCTGAAGTTGTTCTTCAAAACCTGCAAATGTTCAATAAGAACGTTTTGTATTTCATCACACAGCTTTTCTTCAGACATTTCAAGAAAATCACTCAGCATTGGAAATGATTCATACACAGTTCTGAAGACAATTTGACCATAAAGTCCAATTTTTTAAATCAGCACTTCCACTGTGTCTTCAACTTTAAATATTGGGCGTAGCTACCCCTGGTAGGCTCAAATTTAGTCCATTCAAATAGGTGAAAATATCGGCCAAGTACGCTACCATAACTAAGCGCAAAAAATCACGGATATGCTTGCTCAGCTGAAATGTCATATCTATGAAAAATATTCATATTTCATCATATAACTCAAACAAGCGGTTGAGTACTTTCCCACGAGACAACCAACGCACTTATGAATGTAAAAAGCCATTTATGATTGCTACTCATGTCATCGCAAAGGGCATTAAAGATGCAGGAATTTAGTGGATGAGCTTTAATAAAGTTGACCACTTTCTCCACCTCATCCAGCGTTGTCTTCAGTTTTCCTGCCTTTTTTCTGGCAGCTAATGCTTCTCATGGTATATGCTAATGATTCCACGTAACTGTAGGAATGAGATCCTTAACGTGTGCAATGAGTCTGCTGTACTTTCCTGACATTGCACGAGTCTCATCAGTAGGGATTCCTACACATTTTGACCACTTGATTTCATTTATTATGAAATCATTCAGATTATTAAACACAGCTTCAGGGGTAGTATGTGTTGGTAAACCATGGCAAAATAGGAAATCTTTGTTAGTTTTACTGTCGAATTCATATCAAATGAATTCCAGCAAATTAGCATTGCCAGAAACATCTGTACTTTCATCCAGTTGCAGTAAATAATATTGGCTTTTGTATACCCTTGTAGTTAACTGCTCTTTTATATTCACAGACATATCTTCGATTCTACAGGTGACAGTGTTGTTGGATAGTGAGATCAAATTTCAATCTTTTGCAGCTTTATCCCAAAGCATTGCACTGGTCATTGCTTTTGCAGCAGGCAGAATTAGTTCCTGTGCAATAGTGTGAGGTTTCCCTGCCTTTGCTATTAGTAGGGATACTTGATAAGAAGCAAACACAGCTTTTTGTTATCAATTTCTGGCTTGCACATAGTTTTCGCTGCTTGTTTTGGAAAAATTCGAAAGATTGGTTCACATTTTGCTTATATTTAGTTTCTAGATGCTGGTGAAATTTGGCTGTTTCATGCATTCGTCGGATAATAATTCATAACAGAGGACACATTGTGCTTTCTGCCAGTCTTCAGAATCTGAACTCATAAATCCAAACAATAAATATTCGTCACAGTACTTATGTATTTTGCATTTTAGTTCAAGTGTTTGAGTAGTTTCACTCAAGCATGATGCACCTTCACTTGAGTCACCATTATTTTTACATTTTAACCAGCGATCCATAATTAATTATTGGCACGTAAAATAATGTCAAAAAGTGTATAAAAACAGAAAATACATGTATAATATGATACCACAAAACAAGGGTAAGAACATGAGCTTCAACGCACAGGTGCCGACTTCTAATTTTCCCCAGGAGTGCTTAACCCCTGTTCAGCCCCAGGCCCTGCCCCCACTACACCCCCACCTCTCCTCTTCCTGCCCCCTCCCCCAAGCAAGCCCCATCCACGCTCCTCCCCCGCCCTCCCAGCGCCTCCTGTTGATCAGTGGCGCCGGCAGCCCTGGACATGACTTGAGTACCTCCTGGAGTACCCTCACAGACCCCAGTTCATGAAACACTGGTCTAGGACACTTGGCAAGTCATAGATACATGCCTTACTGTAGCTGAAAGCCTGTGGTGTCACACTGATGTAATATGTAAAATCAAAATGGCTGAAAACTTAAAAACGGAACAGTCACACACAGTGAATCCCAATGCTGATTGAACCTAGTGACATTCTGAACAAAAAGAACTCTCAAACATGCTCCTAGCGGTTTCCATTGTTTCACACTGAATCAGATATTCTACAAAGCAGAGTGACCCACAGAGGGACAACCCTGAAATATTATATAGTGTAAGTCAGCAAAGTTGAAGACAAATATTGGTATTAACTAGACTGCTTAAATTAAAAGAAGTGTGGTAGGGAGTCTTCAAGCACCCTGGTAAAGTCACAAGTTGTCATGGCACAGGCTGAAAGATTCTAGAAACAGGAGGAAGTTAAAATCACCAAAATACATTTATTGGTTAAAGTTGGGAATGAAACTGCCTTTCCTTTCTGGGCATTGCTTATTGGGGTCGGGGTGTCTCAACAAAACATCTAGGATGCAAGTCAGAGTTTCCTGCTGTGGCCCACTCAGTCACGTCATCTCCCCACTCCACCTCATTTCTCCTCTCTCGCCTTTCTCTTTCTGGCTTACACGGTCAAGACAAATCTACTCTTGCAACACTGCTGCAAGCCCCATGACCAGACAGGCAAGCTAAAAAGCAATGCCTTAAACAGCTTGTTGCCGGTAAAAGTTTGCCCGGTCTTGGAAAGGTGGATACAACTGTGTGACAAGTCTTGGCTGTGACAGCAGAAGTGCTCTTTGCTATTCTTTCCCTTTTGGGTGAGTTTGTCTTGTTTCATCTTACAAAGAAGTTGGGTCAGACTTCAACAGCAACAAGAGCTCAGGACCATCCAAATGAACTTTTTCTTTTCCTCCAAACAGGACAGTCAATTGTTTAAATGAAAGCCTTACATAATTCTTTATGTTTCAATAGCTTTAGCTGTTTTCCTTCTTCTGTGTTTAATAAAAAGGTTTTTAATGGCAATTGTTATAATGAGAGGAAGCCAATGATAACTTGATACAGAATCCCAAACCACAAAACTGTTTAATGTGAAAGTAAGATATTTTAACAGCTTAACACTTGTTGGATATGAGATGCCCCCTTATCAAAATATTACCAACCAGTGCTCTGGAAACAGAGCAGAATATGTAAAAAGCCTTAGGAAACAGGAGCTCTCTTCCCATAGTGTTTCCAGTCCAACAACAGCCCTTGCACAGGAAGCTAGGTGATTAAACGGGAACATCCAGATCATATTCAGCTTCTCCTTGAGGTAGTCCAATGGCAAGGGTGCCATAGGACTGAAGTAAATGGAAGGAGCCAAAGCTGGATGTGATGGAAACTATGAAAATACCCAATTGGGTCAATTCAATCTGCATAAGTTTATCAAGGAATCTTCTTGCCTAATAAGTCATATCCCGGGCCCTGTGTCTCCTTCTGATTTGGAGTTTGCCAGAGAATCCACCAGTTGCTTTCATTTAAAGCCACCACATATTTTCTAGCCCTTATGGTTGTGAAGAAACCTTCAGAATGTGACCCCAATGCTGTGGTCTTCTCAAGTATGCACACTTCCTTACAATAGTTCTGAGGCTTTGGTCAGTCCATTACATTCCTCTCACTGGGTTCATCTCAGGAGGAAAATTTAATAGAACAACATTTTAAAGGTATTTCTTTCCAGGAACACTCCATGAACATGCTTATCCATGGCTATTGGATGAAGTCACAGTGATAAGGGCTGGTTGCGTGCAGAAAAGTTCAAACCTCTTCCCTCAAGAAGTTACTTCCACCCCTGCCCAGCAGAGAGAGGGAAAGAGGAAATGTATTATCTTACCTGTATCCTGGGTACAAAAAAGCAACAGTCACCAGCCATACACCTCCCCAGGTGACAGATGGCCAACATTCCACTACACAGCTCTCCCCACCCACTGAGACTACTTCTCCATTGCAGTTTTGGTACATTCAAACTTTAGGGCTGAGGATGCAAAGTAAAACCACCAGAAGGATACTGTACTGACTGGAGTATTATTTCCATATCTAATGCAGTAAAGTCTTCAATTTCAGAACCCAGGGGCTTGAAACTACATAAAAGCGACCTGAGCTTTTGCTCATTCTCACCTGGCTGTGCAGAGACTCAGTGTCATCTCCAGGGGCATTCACAAGCTTCTCCCCACTCTCCTCAGTTTGGACCTTGGCATCCTGTTGGCCAGGCCTTTGCCCAGCCATGCTCGTTCCCACTTCTATCTGGCTGCTCACTCCCGTCACTGTCTGTGTTGCTGCTGACACAGCTGCTGAGGCCAAAAGAGAACCTCCTGTAGTTTGGACCTCTTTGTTACTGGTGCCAGCCCACATCTGCTGGCCTTTATCCCTCTCTTGGGCTGCCAGAGCCTTACTCAGCTTCTCCTGTGTGCTCTTCCCTTCCTTTTCCAGATCTCTTTCAATATCAACTTCCATAGCCTCTCCCTCTTTTGCATGGGATGGCGGATGTCCGGAGTCCTGCTCTGTGGGATGAGAAACTTTAATTTCCCCACAAGAGGTGTGCTTCTGACACTGTTGCCAAGCTTCAGGATCATCATGCATTTCCTCCTCCTCCTGTGTGCTTGGGAAACTGAACAGGTTCCCCCTGCAAACCAATCAAATGCAGATCAATATTAAGATGTTCAAAGCAATGGGTGCCCAAGCACCCACCACACGCAAGCAGGACTCCCCGTGGCTTTTTATGTGATGTTCATTTAATAATCTGTCAGGAGTGCATAAGAATCACTTAGTTTTATGCATTGGGAACAGATTAACTGGTGGTTCTACTACAACCTTCCTGTAGCTAAACACAGCAGTGTTCCTCTAAGTGCCAATGTTCCTCTGAAATGTCAGCACCTCCAAAGTTACCCAACCCGTGGCAAAGATGACACTTAGCACAAACTAAAGCATTAACTGAAGTGTGTTTTGCTCCAGGTATCCAATACCAGCTAGACACAGCCCTACTGGTAGTTATCCAATCTTCAGGAACCATCACACTTTACTGTACCATTCCTTTGGTGTTACAGTGGCTAAGGACAATGAGAAAAGTAACTGGGAGACGATGTAGAGGAGCAAACACTAATATTTTCCTCAAGTTTTGACTAGACTTTATCTACCTTTTGCTGACTGGCCATTTGCCCCAACCTACTCCCACACTGATTCTCAGTCTCTTCACCTCAGCCTCACTTCACACATACCCCTCATGCATTCCTTCTCTCCCTCTTTTCTCCTGCTCTATCCCTGTCACCCCACTCCCTTTCCTTGTATTGCCATTTGGCTAAACCCCATTATACCCCCACCAAAAAAAAAAAAAAAAAAAAAAGGTAGTGAACCAAACATGGCATTTGCTAGTATCTCATCCTTTTGTCTGTCTTGTCTAGATAGACTAATCTTCTCAGGGCAGGGACTACCTACTGCTCTGTGTTTGTATAGTGTCTAGTACTATGGGGCCTCAATCTTGGTAAGTCCATAGGCACTGCCATAACAAACATTAATAATACTGTACACAATGTATGTTAATCTGCTGTATGTGAGAGCCCACACCCCTGTAATCTCACTCCCCAATCAACAGATGTTAAGCAAGGTGCAGGAGTGAAAAGCTTCTGGGTGCTAGTGGCTTACACAGTTATACTGCATTGTCATCTAACAGCTACCAGTAAGCACTTCTATAACCCTTTCATTTTAATTTGGCGATAGCCAGCTGCATGTGTGAGGAAAAAAATTACTTGGAAAAAACAAGAAACAATAGCTGATATGGTAGCAAATAAGACCATGCGATTTTTGGCAGGATAAGCAAAGGGCAGGGAGGCAATAGCCCTTGTATGGATGGCTTCTGAATGACCCACCTACAACACTCTCTTCGGCTCTGGGCATCTCACCCAGCAGCAATCCTCACATCAAACTTCAAAGCTAGAGAGCACAGCATGGTTACTGCATGACCCACACCTACCAGTCATATTACTGAGTACATGCACACAGTGCCCCCCCCATCTTTCTCTAGAGGTCACCCCAGAATCAGTGACACAGCACAGGGCTCCTAAAGGGACATGGAACCTCACTACAGGGCCAAACAAGAATAAAATGCAAAGCTCTATACCTAAATGGAGCAGCAGGAAGATCATGACCTCTGGCCTCATCCTCTCGTCTTACTTCACAGACACGACTAAACACAGACAGTGTCTTCTGTGAGCTAGTTGTAGAGATTAAAGAAACAGGTCACAATCACAGGAACTAGGAAAGTACTGTCATTGGAAAGGAGAAATGTCTAAAATCACTAGAACCAACAAAAGACTGGCCTTTAGGCTGATTAATTTGTTGTGCCATAAATCAGCAAAGCAGTTGGAGTTGGTCAGAGCTCTCCAGGGTCAAGAGACAACTCACAATTGTAAAAAGAAAAGGAGTACTTGTGGCACCTTAGAGACTAACCAATTTATTTGAGCATGAGCTTTCGTGAGCTACAGCTCACTTCATCAGGGTATACATCTGATGAAGTGAGCTGTAGCTCACGAAAGCTCATGCTCAAATAAATTGGTTAGTCTCTAAGGTGCCACAAGTACTCCTTTTCTTTTTGCGAATACAGACTAACACGGCTGTTCCTCTGAAACCTGTCACAATTGTAAGAAGTTGTTGCCTACTTCCTTCATCTCGGGCCCCTTTTTGCCAGCCAGGAGAAACTCAGTAGCTTGAGACAGTGCAATAAGCATGATGTCAGCATTACACTAGCTTTCGAGAAAGTACAGTATCATGGTCCAGTACTCCCTTGCTGCCACAAGGTGGCGATATTAGATCATTTGCACCCTACATTTTAATACCCTCCTCTTCCCAGTGAGAGCTGATAATAGCTTTCATGACACAGCAAAAAAACACCTGAGATGACAAGCTCGCAACACACTTGAAAGGTCAAACTCACCACACAACTAGAAAGCTTCCCCACTCTCAGAAAAATGAGTGATGGCAACGCTCACACACAGCAGGCAATTCTGTGGCAAAGGTCTCTTAATAGCACTTATTTCAGGATTCTACCCTCCAAACAATCTGAATCTTTCACATCCAAATCCTGCTGGGCCACCATTTTAGCCCCTCCACTCTTGCCAGGGCCCCATGGGGCCAAGAAAGGCAGGAAGTTAGCAGGAAGCCCCCAGGCCAGAATAAAATGGCAGGTGGGAGCACCTGAACCAAGGCAAGTGCCTTGCACCAGAAGCATCACGGCAGGTGGCAAGGGGTTAAGTCAAAAGCAGTGGCTGAGCCAGCTCCATGCTGCTGGGTCTCATTTTTATTTTTCCTGCTGTTAGTAGATGATCATTTCTCTCATTACCAAGAACTTTGCATTCAACCACTCTGCTTGGCAACAAGCAGTAGTTACCTGGCAACAGCTCCAGCAACAGCAGAGGATCCATTTTTCCTTTCACTGGCTGCAGGCTCTGAAAGAGATGGGGGAGGGGAGAAAGAATCCTGTTAGCACCACACCCGAACAGCCTTCCTGCCCCCATGAGCTCTGCAGCTAGAGGGGTTGAGCAACAGAAGAGAAGATAGCTATGAAACCATCCCATCCCCCCTCAACCAGCCATTTCAGCTTCCCACTGCAACCCTCAGCCTGTATGAATACTCGAGCATATTACATAGATTGAGCAGAAGAGCAGCATTCAGATACTGAAGTTACACTTTTCTCAAGAGAACCGACTGGGATCACATCTCCTAATTGCCCCCCAACTCTGTTGAAACACACAAACCTAGCTTCCTGCCATAGGAACGTCTCCCCCCCACCTGGAAGTGCCTCTGCTTCACTGCAATGCCAATGGGACATGAGCTCCCCTCCCCCACCTAAGTGGGTCTCTACACCCCTCTCAGCTGTAGGACACACTATTTTCTTAGACATTACTGTGCAATGGAACTAAAAAAAGGATTCCTGTGGGAGGAGGCCAGCAGCTCTCCAAACAAATCTGATTCCAAGCCCTTGTCAAGTGACTGGCACTGGGTGGGGTATCCCAGGGTGAGGAGACAGTCAGCACCTACATATTCCCCAGTTTTCCATTCCCTTACTTTCCAGACTGAAGGGCAGACTCCCCTCACTCTCCTCGCTCACAGGGGTAGCAAGGTTCATTCGAAGACACAGTTTTCCATCAGCCTCAGGAGCTGCATCAGAATCCCCCTTTTCACACTCTTCCAACACATCTGCTGATGCCATAGCGCTCTCCACAGTGACATCATTGGTGCCAATACTGCCCTCTGCTGTGACATCGCTGGTTATTATGGTTCTATCTGGGCAGCTGCCATCCACTAAAATGAGAAAGGAAAGAAGGCACAAAATACAAAGTGAAAATGGCCAGTGTAGTGTTTACTGCATTGGGTTCAGCTCCCTGTGGGTGCCTAGGAGTGGTGCAATTATATGCTTCAGTGGCAAATAGCATAGCAGTGCACATTCCTATCAGGCTGCCCTTAAGAATGTCTCAGGGATTCAATTCTGTAGTAGTGACAACAGCCTTAGCCAAAGGCCAACTAGTTCCATCATCCACTATAGAAGTCAACTGCTAAGTTGGACATCACAAGGGACGCTGCCTGATGAGGCAAAACATGGTATATACAGGAAATGATCTTGCCTTAGCAAAAGGCAAGGATTTGGACTAGGAGGGCCTTTTGAGTCCTATTGTCAGGAGTCTATGACTGACAGCACCATGCATATAGAATTCACGGCAAGAAGACACAAGACAGGCACACCCACCTGTGGTACAGTAGAGACTACATATAAAGGGGGAAATGTTTAGTTGAATGAGTGAGTGACCAGGGTCAGAGTACCAATGGGAAACTGTGACAGGTGAACATGCCCTGCTCACAGCACAGGGCCAGCCCAATGCCAGCTCCTAAATTAGGTTTAAGGCTTTAATCAAGTCCTGTATCAAGACTCGAGTCTGCTTCCATTTCAAATCGAGGCCATTCTATTCAAACTCACCGATAGGAGTGCTGTGTCTTCTGGGTCCCATTTTAAGCTGCCCAATAAGAGATGGGGTCACACTAGTCAAGGGCTGAATGACATCACCTTCCTTTGGCAAAGTGAAATGAAACAGGGTTCCTTAAAGAGAGACGCAGAATTAGTGATCTGCAGGAGAGGTCTGTATCTGAATATACGTGGCGAGCACTGGAGCTCACTAGGGATGGGGACGAGTTCATCCTGCTTCTGCAGTGAACTGGGACACCCCAGTGCGGTGTTTGGAGAACAGATTCGGTGAGTGCTCTCCAATAAGTAAGTTACTGATCTCAAACCGACCACTCCACTGAATAGGTTTTCTGAATCTAAGGTCTTCACAACTCATGTCTTTCTACCCTACAAATCTGTCATCCCAGAAAGAATTCCCCAGTGGGAGACTTGGGCCACAACCATAGCTTCATACACCTTCCTCCACACTCTAACAAAAGGAGAGATTAATTATGCAAATGTGGGTAGTGGTTTTGTAATGTGTAGAAAGGAGTGTTGTGTTCAAGGTATGCCCGGCACTGTAACAGAAAAAAGGGTGGAAGAAGAGAGGGCAGGAATGCAGGTTAGGACTGAAGTGCATTAGAAGAGCTGTGTGGGAGGGAAGGAGAAGCTTGAAATAAAACTCTGAAGATAAAGCACTATTTTGAACAAGTGCAGAAAGCTTTACAAATCTTAAACTTACACAACAGCTGGCTGCCCTCTATACAGGTCTAAATACCTTTCTGAGAAGTGACAGCTTGACATTTAAAAGAGTTAGAGAGCACAGCCACAAAAGTTTCCCTGGATAAAGAAACCTGAAGGAAATAAACTGAGAAAAAAACATTGTTGAAAAATGACTACCAACTAATTTTATATTATTTAGAATTTTCAACTACGAGACAGCTTGCTAGGGATGGGGAAGTACCAGAAACTATACATATTTGATGGCAATTGAATAATTTAAGGCTGTCACAGCATAAGGGGTTGCTACCATAGAATCTGATCTCACTGTGTCGCAGAACAAATGGAGCCCTTATGACATGGCTTTCATGAATGGAATGACAAGATAATCCCCTGAAAGGCAAGTCTCTTCTCAAATAAAAGTTTAGTTTTTTTTTTTTAAATTAATGTTTAAGTCACATTTAGATTCAGAAAAGCTATTCAAACTTTCTTGCAAACTGAATTATCTTGGAGAATACACAACTGAGTGCAGCAAGGCTAATGGAGCATAAGAAATTCAAGAAAATTATTGTTTCATTACTAAGAGTTCTTCATATTTGACTTTTATATTCAATAACTATAAAAGTTGTTACAATGCTTTAAGAATTAAGGATGGTTAAGGCCTTGTCTACACAACAGTTTTGTCAGCAAAAGGCAGCTTTTGTTGACAAAACAGTGGAGATATGCACACTACAATGCTCCTGCTGACAAAACTCTCCTGCTTTGCCAACAAAATAAAACCAAGTTAGATTGACAAAGCATCAGTGCAGACACTGTTTGTTACACTGCTGTAACTGGCCTCCAGGAGGTATCCCACAATGCCCACCATGACTGCTCTGCTCACTGTTTTGAACTCCGCTGCCCTGCGCCCAGCTACACAAGCACGTGCCCCTCCCCTTTCAAAGCCCCAGAAAGTTTTGAAACTGCTCAGCCTGGAAAGTTCACATAGCTACTGCCCAGCTGAGCATGCTCGCTCCCAGCAGCAAATGCACTCGTGCCTGGACTACAGGGGAGAGGGTGGATCTCCTGGGGCTGTGGGAGAACTCTGAAGGAATCATGGAATCAAAACATTAACATGGAATCCTCCTCTCCTTGGCACTAGGACCACAGTGGCAGGGAGGCAGGACAGATTGCTGCAGGCAGGAGGGGGGCGGGGGAAGAGACTCCTGATGCGCTGTGCAGACCCAGGGAGGGAGGTGGGGGCTGATGTCAGGGTTGGGAAGACAGGTGGACACCAGCTGTCTGTGCACCAGTTTCTGGCTCAGGATTGGTTGCTTCTGGCTGCTGTCTGAACTTAGAGAGACAGCATGCCACACTCTCCCCGAACACATACACTGTCTCTCTTACACTCACTCTCTCTCACTCACACACACAGAGGAAGCCCACAGAAGTGTGTTAGTATTCAGCAATGTCAGCTGATCATATTACCAAGTGCTACTTTAAAAAGTGATTTACAATGTGTTACTTTTCAGGCACACACAACAATCATTACATGGTTCCTAGCATGGTGCAAACAAACGATGCCAGCCTCAGCACACTACAACAACAAACGTTACTGTGGCTCAGTGTTAATAAGCTCCTTGAAGGCATCCCCCAGCCAAACAGCCCACCCCTGGGCTCCCCTTATAGCCTGGTGTTCATAACACACAGCACAATATTGAACACAGTGCAGGATCCAGGCTCTCTGACAGAGATGGCTGGCTCACAGGTTACCAGGGCAGTTGAAAAGCGGCTGGCAACCAAGTAGGATAGCCATGGAATGATGGGATTGAGCAACCTTCATCATGTGATGCTGTACCTGCCCCCATAAGGCATTGCAACCCCTCCCAAAGCACCCTGTGACCAGCTGCACAGTGGGATAACTATCCACAGTGCACTGCTCTGTGTCGATGCAAGAGCTGCTATTGTGGATGTGTTCCACTGACACAAGATGCACAGTGTGGAGATGCAACAGCAGTTTAATTACAGCAGTGGCTGTATGTTGGCGTAATTTGCGTTGACAAAACTCTGTAGCGTAGACAAGGCCTAATTCAATAGTAGCAGAGTAAAAACAAAATCAGCCACAAATTACCTGGCAATCACAACGACTGCTTAACCACGCTGGGGACAACAGCTGGGAAAATATGGTTCCTAACCTGTTCTGTAATGACAGGTTTCAGAGTAACAGCCGTGTTAGTCTGTATTCGCAAAAAGAAAAGGAGTACTTGTGGCACCTTAGAGACTAACCAATTTATTTGAGCATGAGCTTTCGTGAGCTACAGCTCACTTCATCGGATGCATACCGTGGAAACTGCAGCAGACTTTATATACACACAGAGAATATGAAACAATACCTCCTCCCACCCCACTGTCCTGCTGGTAATAGCTTATCTAAAGTGATCATCAAGTTTCCATCCCACCATCAACCTCAGCCTGGTCCAGTCCACACAAGAGATCCACTTCCTGGACACTACAGTGCTAATAAACAATGGTCACATAAACACCACCCTATACCGGAAACCTACTGACCGCTATTCCTACCTGCATGCCTCCAGCTTTCACCCTGACCACACCACACGATCCATCGTCTACAGCCAAGCTCTGCGATACAACCGCATTTGCTCCAACTCCTCAGACAGAGACAAACACCTACAAGATCTCTGTCAAGCTTTCTTACAACTACAATACCCACCTGCGGAAGTAAAGAAACAGATTGATAGAGCCAGAAGAGTTCCCAGAAGTTACCTACTACAGGACAGGCCTAACAAAGAAAATAACAGAACGCCACTAGCCGTCACCTTCAGCCCCCAACTAAAACCCCTCCAACGCATTATTAAGGATCTACAACCTATCCTAAAGGATGACCCAACACTCTCACAAATCTTGGGAGACAGGCCAGTCCTTGCCTACAGACAGCCCCGCAACCTGAAGCAAATACTCACCAACAACCACATACCACACAACAGAACCACTAACCCAGGAACCTATCCTTGCAACAAAGCCCGTTGCCAATTGTGCCCACATATCTATTCAGGGGACACCATCACAGGGCCTAATAACATCAGCCACACTATCAGAGGCTCGTTCACCTGCACATCCGCCAACGTGATATATGCCATCATGTGCCAGCAATGCCCCTCTGCCATTTACATTGGTCAAACTGGACAATCTCTACGTAAAAGAATAAATGGACACAAATCAGATGTCAAGAATTATAACATTCATAAACCAGTCGGAGAACACTTCAATCTCTCTGGTCACGCAATCAGACATGAAGGTCGCTATCTTAAAACAAAAAAACTTCAAATCCAGACTCCAGCGAGAAACTGCTGAATTGGAATTCATTTGCAAATTGGATACTATTAATTTAGGCTTAAATAGAGACTGGGAGTGGCTAAGTCATTATGCAAGGTAGCCCATTTCCCCTTGCTTTTTCCTACCCCCCCCCCAGATGTTCTGGTTTAACTTGGATTTAAACTTGGAGAGTGGTCAGTTTGGATGAGCTATTACCAGCAGGAGAGTGAGTTTGTGTGTGTGGTTTTTGGGAGGGGGGTGAGAGAACCTGGATTTGTGCAGGAAATGGCCCAACTTGATTATCATGCACATTGTGTAGAGAGTTGTCACTTTGGATGGGCTATCACCAGCAGGAGAGTGAATTTGTGTGGGGGAGTGTAGGGTGAGAAAACCTGGATTTGTGCTGGAAATGGCCCAACTTGATGATCACTTTAGATAAACTATTACCAGCAGGACAGTGGGGTGGGAGGAGGTATCGTTTCATATTCTCTGTGTGTATATAAAGTCTGCTGCAGTTTCCACGGTATGCATCCGATGAAGTGAGCTGTAGCTCACGAAAGCTCATGCTCAAATAAATTGGTTAGTCTCTAAGGTGCCACAAGTCCTCCTTTTCTTTTTGCGAATACAGACTAACACGGCTATTCCTCTGAAACCTGTTCTGTAATGTTATTCTCCAAGATGTGTTGCACATGTCCAGTCCATTCCACTCAAGGTGTGCACACCCAGTGTGTCAGATGAGATTTTTCTTTTAGCACAGGGGTGGGTAAACTTTTTTGCCCAAGGGCCACATCGGGATTGCAAAACTATATGGAGGACCGGGTAGGGAAGGCTGTGCCTCCCCAAACAGCTTGGCTGCCTGGCCCCTATCTGCCCCCTCCCACTTCTCACCCTGACTGCCCTCTTCAGAATCCCTGACCCATCCAACCCCCCTGCTCCTGTGACCCCCGCCGCTAACTGCCCCCCATCCACCCTCCCTTCTCCCTGTCCCGACTGCCCCAATCCCTATCCACACCCCTGACCCCTGACAGGCCCCCCTCCCCCAGAACCCCTAACCCATTCAACCCCCCCTGCTCCCGGACTGCCCTTCCGGAAACCCCAACCAATCCAACCCCACCCCCCGCTCC